TACCAGTCGGTAAAATTCTCTTCCAGGGCCATCACATCGCACGTCACGGCTCGCCGCATGCTGGCTCAATCACTGGCAGACGGACGTAAAGAATAAGGTCAAGCTGGCCACTGCTCCCATTAAGGGAGATAAACTGTTTGGCCCAGCTTGGAACCACTGTTGGTCGAGGGCCGCAGTAAGAGAAAGTATCTACCCCCCTTCCCGCCCAGATACCCTAGACCCCCTTCCTTCCGATCCCAGAACCGCACGGTCCCGGGCGACAGGACCAGACGCGGTGGCAGCTACAAGAGACCCTTTCGGGGATCGGGAGGAAGGCCCTACCGCAGAAGGTAGAGCCTCTTCCTCCCTCCCCATTGGCGGCCGCCTCAGCCACTTCGCTGCCCAATGGGACATATCCACATCCGATGCATGGGTTAGGGACACAATCAGGTTTGGTCTCGCCCTGGAGTTCAGGTCCGCCCCCCCCTGATTATTTCATCCCATCCCTCCTCCTCAAGGGATCCCTCCAAACGTGCACCAATGGATGCAGCCACCCATCATCTTCTTGACATCCAGGCCATTCAACCTGTCCCTCCGAATCAGAGAGAAAAGGGCTTTTACTCCCATCTCTTTGGGGTGCCCAAACACTCTGGGGGTTGGAGAGTCATCCTGGACTTGAAACGGCTCAACCGTCACCTTATCCAGCGTAGGTTCAATATGCACTCCTTGCTATCAATTCTGTTAGGCACCAGGCGGGGAGACTGGTTATCTTCCATAGATCTTTCGGAGTCATTCCTCCATATTCCAATCAGGCCCTCCCATTACAAATTCCCCAGGTTCTGTCATAATAGCCTTCACTATCAATACGTGGCCCTACCCTTTGGACTGGCCTCGGCCCCCCGGACCTTCACCAAGGTCCCGGCGGCCCTGGCGGCTCATCTCAGGAGCGTTCCCGTCCGCCTCCACTGCTACTTGGACGTTATCCTTATTCTATCCCCGTCCAAATCCCAGGCAGTCAGGGATACCAGGGTCACCCTCTCCGCCTTACGGGCACACGGTTTTCTAGTCAATTGGCAAAGAGCCAACTTACCCCTTCCACCCGATTTAACCTCTTGGGTGCCATAATTTATTCTGTTTCTCAAAGAGTTTTCCTCTCTCCGGAGAGGTTCCTTAGCATTCAAGCCCTGGTCAAACAGAGCAGGCGTTCAAGGAGGGTGGCCTTGCTGGACCTCTCTGAATTGTTGGGCTAAATGGTGTCACCCATCTCTATTATTCCCTGGGCCCGTCTACACAGTAGATCCCTCCAGTGGTTCCTGCTCCCGTTCCAACGATCCGGAAGAAGCAACTCGAAGGCCAGAATCAGGGTCCCTCCAAGGGTCCTCACGTTTCTTCTCTGGTGGACCAATCCCACCATCAACAGAGGCCACCTCTTCGCGGAACCTCAATGACTCTCCGTCACTACGGACGCAAGCCTGTCCGGTTGGGGCGCTCATCTCGACTCGCTCTCGGCACAGGGCAAATGGTCGCCGACCGAGCAGAGGTGCAGCATCAATTGGCTAGAGTTTCACGCTGTCCATCTGGCCCTGTGCAGTTTTTTCTCAGATCCGCAAACATCACGTTCTCGTTCTCACGGACAACGTCACGGCCAAGGCCCATATCAACAGGCAAGGGGGCTCCCAGTCCATCCAGCTAATGAGGGAAGCCGAGCGCCTTAGCCGCTGGGCAGAATCCAACCTCCTATCTCTAAAAGCCGAACACATCTCCGGAGTAGACAATACTCAGGCGGACTGGCTGAGCAGGGCCACGGTGGACCAGGCAGAATGGCGTCTCCATCCATCCCTATTCGAGGAAGCGTCCAGAATATTCGGCCTTCCGGTGGTGGACCCTTTCGCCTCCCCGTCCAACTCTCAGCTTACACGGTTCTTCTCCCGGTATCCGTCTCACCGGTCGGAGAATCACAACGCCATGCGTTGCCCATGGCCCCCAGGGCTCCTATATGCCTCCCCTCCGCTCCTGTTAGTTCCCAGAGTAATTCAGAAACTCATTCAGGAGAGGGCAGACCTTCTCCTGGTGGCTCCCTATTGGCCCAGGCGACCGTGGTTTGCGGACCTCCGCTTTTTATCGGTAACGCCCCCATGGAGGATCCCCCTGGACTGGGTCTCCCTCTCTCAGGGGCCCCTTCTGCATCCGGAGCCTCAATGGCTCCAGTTAGCCGTCTGGAGGTTGAGCGGATCCGCCTGACTAGTGAGAAGCCCTCAGTCAAGTCATCGACACTATTTTGGCCGCCAGGCGACCTTCCACTACACGAATTTATGATGCCACTTGGAAGGGGTTCTGCAAGTGGTGTAGCGGGTCTCAGATTGATCCCCTCTCTCCCCTGTGGCTCAGATCCTAGAATTCTTCAGGAAGGCCTTCGCAAGGGGCTCGCACCTAACACCCTGAGACTACAATTTTCTGCCCTCTCAACCGTGGTCTCCTGTGATAACTACGGTTCCCTTTCTCATCACCCCCGAATTAGATCTTTCCTTAGGGGCGCCACCAACCTGTGCCCTCCCACTGTTCACAGGTTCCCCACATGGGACCTCAACAAGGTCCTCGTTTCTCTTACTCGTTCCCCGTTCGAGTCTTTGAGGGATTCATCCCTTCAGTTTCTCACCTTTAAGGTAGTTTTTCTAGTAGCTATTACTTCTGCTCGTCGAGTTTCGGAATTAGCAGCTCTGTCAGTCAGGAGTGATCTATGCGTGTTCCATGCAGACCGAGTGGTCCTTCGTCCCGACCCCACCTTCCTCCCAAAGTCAACTCTCCCTTCCATAGGTCACAGGAACTGGTTCTACCAAATTTTTGCCCTAGGTCCTCCAGGGGCAGGGGGGTCCTCTGGCACTCCCTAGATGTTAGAAGGGCCTTGCGTATATATATTAAGCGCACTCAATCCATGAGAAAGTCGGAATCCGTCTTCCTATCCTTTCAACCCAGGTCACTGGGGCTTAAGGTTTCTCCTTCCACCATCAGTCGCTGGATCAGGGCCACCATTGCGAGGTGCTACCTTTCCCATTCCCTGCCCGCTCCGGGTGGAATAACCGCCCATTCCACCAGAAGTGCAGCCACCTCGGCGGCCTGGGCCACGCAAGCCCCCATCGCTGACATTTGTCGGGCAGCCACCTGGACCTCTCCGTTCCCGTTTATCAGACATTATAAAATAGATACGTACGCCTCAGCGGAGGCCTCTTTTGGCCGACGGGTCTTACAGAGGGTCATCAGTGATCCGGAGGGGCCTTCGGGCCAGACGGAGTCCCACCCGTAGGACAGCCCAGCTTTGGTATGTCCCAGTCTCTGGATGCTCCGAGCGGCTCGAGGGAGAATGGGCGTTGGTTCGTACCTGATACGCCCCTTCTCGGCGAGCCGCGAGGAGCATCCAGCCCCACCCTAATTTCTCCGTCTGGTGGGGACTCTTGCTTCAGCCAAGGAGCCAATAGTAGATTAGAAAGAATTAATAACCTCTCTTCTCGTTATCGCAAAAAACTGGGGAGACGCTGCGCAATACCACGTGAGGGGGCGGAGCGTTTCCTCATCTAAAGCTCAGCCTGCAAGAAGAGGACTCAGAAGCACATCCCAGTCTCTGGATGCTCCTCGCGGCTCGCCGAGAAGGGGCGTATCAGGTACGAACCAACGCCCATTATTTTGGCAGGGCAGGAGCAAGAATTCCAGATGTGAAGGCATGGCAAAACTCAACACAGTTGGAAAGAGGCCAGGAACACAGATAAGCAAAGTCAACACAAGATAAATTCACATTTGCTCCCAGCAGCTGCCGTATGCAGCCTGCATTTCTTTTAAACTTTCTTCCCAGTTGTGGCTAATGAAGGGAATCAGGACACTTTCCTCCTGCATAAACCACACAACCCACGTTGCTCTCTTCTCTGTTTCTCCCTGCGTGCCCTAGGATGAAGAGGGGCAGGCCTGGGTCTTCCTCTGAACTCCCTCTCCCTTGTTCTATCTCTCCCCTGCTCTGCCCAGCCGGACTTTGCCCTCCCATCCCCAGTTTCCTCCACAGCCAACCGAGCCACACTCCCTGTCAGCTGTTTGTCTTCCTCCTTGGATTCAGACTCTGACAGGGGCATGACAGATATACTTTGAACAATAGGAGTCCACCTGCTTTTTTTTTTTTTTTTTGCAAAAACCATGCCACTACCACAAACCTGTCTGTTCAGCCAATATGGAAGAAAATTATACCATGGCCAGCTAGCTGAGCTATGTATTGGCTGAGAGCGTAATAGTGAACCACATCTTCTGAACTTTCAAAATATTGTACATGCTTGCAATTTACAGCTCATATTTCATCTATGGGTTCTTTAAAGAACCTTTCTAGTCTTGATGTGCCATTCCTAAAACCTTTGTAACATGCATGTTCTTTTAATTAATTTTTTTTCTCTCCTCAGAATTATTAGGTGATACTGATATTTTGGAATCAAATAAATGATCAAAACTAAACATCTGATCCAGTATGTCATGGATTTCATTTCTTGAACTCTTGTCCTTTTGAATGTTAGTGGGTTTTTTATAATATTGTATTATTATTATTACAGTTATAATTTATATACCTTTTCATTTTTTATGTCAATAAATTTGAATTAATAAAAAGTAAGAATATAGACCTTTTGGGATTATGGCTTGGTTTTTTAAAAATGTACTTTTCACCCCATACAGATCTTCTGTTCTTACTAGAATGGTGAAGTAAGAACTAGTGAAAAGTAATTTAAAGTAAAAGAAGCCAAACAACCTTTAACAAGGTTGTTAACATGTCATTTATTAGATTTATTTGCTGCCTATTTCACCTTGAGTCGAATCTTATCCAGCACAGAAAACAGGGAGAACAAATCATATTTCAAATTTTGTTGATTAGAACAGGAGTAATGTTTCATGTCAGTTCAAATATGGCATTAGTTGGGTGTTTGGACTAGTAATATGTATATTGAATATGAAAATTGTTATTTATAGCTTTCCTTCCACATTTTTGCTCACCCAAGTGTATTATTATTCTTATAATTGCATTCTTGATTTCAACACTATAGTAAGTTACTTCAAGTTCCATTAAACTCAATGGAGTTCACATTTGAGTAGATAATGACTGCAGTATCAATTAACTACCTCCTCTAAAAAAGGAACTTTATATTCAAATGTTATTTTTGTTCAGTTATTATGTAACATTAAATTTACATTCACCGAACTCTTCTAACATCATAACAATCTTGTATTATAAAACTACTAATTTGATATCCAAGAATCCAGTTCATCACATAAGTTACATTAATGTTACAATCTTCTCACATAAGATATGCAATTTGCTGTGTAATGTAGAATCTGCCCAAGTTCGCAGCAAAGCAGTTGCCAGAGCAGTGTTTTCATTTGGGCAAAACTTGTTGCCAATCAGGCTGTTCCCGAGTTCCACACATACATCCAGTGGCAGCCAGTTCTGAGGCACATCTATTTGGCAAGTTTCAATGTTACCATTCTTTATATCCATACTTATCTGAATTTCAACATTGGATTCCTCATGACCTATATTAAAAGATGTGATGATTTTGAACTTTGGTGTTTTTCCATATAGCCAATTCCAGGCTTTTAGTTCTATGGCTTTATTGTTAATTCCAGGGAATTCTGTTTCATTGGCTGGATTTATGACATGGATATGGTTTTCTATGTGATGATGTGAAGCATATTCGCCAGCAATGGCTTCCATAAGCATTTCACAAGTTAATGTGGGATCTTCTTCATAGAGATTTCTCACTAATGCAGGCACACTTGGTGTGGCATTACTTTGGATTCCACTGTTAGGAGTCTTTAACACAGATGTTAGAACCAATTTATCAGTGCTGCATAACAAAGTGCAGTGGTGATAAGCAGCTGTTCTTCCTAATTTTGCAGCAGTTCCTGAAATTTTAAAGATTTTGTTTAACAAGAGATCATATCTTTCAGTAGCCTGAACATCTAGCTGGGGTCGCAGGGACTTCAAAGCTTTAACAACCAGTTTTAAATTTTCAATTCTTTCATATTTTTTTCTGTCAGTGAAAAAAGTCAGATTAATGTTGCCTTTGTCGTGGTAAACTGCACCTCCTCCACTTCGTCTTCGAGCAAGCTTTACACCCTTCTGCCTCATGACTCCAAGGTTACATTCCTGCCAGGGATTCTGATGCCGACCAATCACTACAGCAGAAGAATTTCTCCAGAGGAGAAGAACATGTCTCTTCTCTAAATCCATGTTATCATGGATCCAATCCTCTAATGCTAAATTCTGGTAAACATCCTGAGACACAGACTGTAGGATAAGCCCTTTTTCTTTTGTACTTTTGAAGCCAGCAGCTGGAACTTTGAGGACACAATATAATGGGAAACATTTCTTCCATGAGAACTGGATTATCATGTTTTAAAGAAATAAAATAAGCATCAAAAGCAATGGAAGTTTTGGCACTATTCAGAATCTTTCAAGCCATTGGTTCAATGGTGAACTTTTTTCTTTTTAGAAACACAGTTTTAGATTGTTTTAATATTCCTTCTTTTTGGTAGGTAGCTGCAACCTTTAAATCAGTGAATTTGTAAGATGCTTTTTCAATCAATTGCCGATAACCTATTGGAAAAAAATATTTATTGAAGTTATATCTGACACGTCTCAGTAGTATATACACAAATATCTTCCCACATCTTCGGTAAGATTAAAATATTAAAACATCTACAACAGGATGAACAAAAATAAACTAAATCATGACACAAATGACTAATATCTGTATAACAATAAAAAAAATTTAGAAAAATAAATCAGTAAATGACACAACTCAGTAAACATCACTGAAACATTCTAAAAAGCTCAAGTTTTAGTTTATTGTTTTATTTATTTTTATGGCCATGCATCTGAAAGGCTCACAAATTCATGAAAATAAAGATTAAACTCTGATGTCTCATTTATCCTCCAATAAACCTTAAGAACTTTCTCCTCTCACCAAGGAGGCGGCTAGCCTGATCTCCACAGGAAGATCATTCCCCAACAACTACATTACCGCTAAGAAGCAGTGCCTTCCAACTTCAGTTCTCACCTTTCTCTTCAGGCTCATACAGGCTGGAAAAGGCAGTTCTGATATAGTCACATTAATACCTTTAAAGTTACCAATTCAACTGCTTTGGGGATGATACAGCAAACAGCCTATTTCCTGACAGTTACGGTTCATCACTCAAATCTGGAGATAATTATGTCTGCCAAACAACTAAAGGTGCTAACAAGGTGTACACAGAAACACCCCAGAATGCTCTACAAATAGGTCATGATACGCTGTAACCTAGTGAATTCTTGAGGGAAAACCGAATAGAAAATGTTGCCTCCCTGCTCCGCTCCATTTTTTTAAAAGTCCCATAATCCACAGTGTATGAAAAGATTGAGCAAAGATAATGGGCGCTGTAGTACAAATACATCTGACGGACAACTACGGGGGCGGGAGGCTTCTTCAAACAAGCCGAAAGGCAGGAGTAAGTTGATCGCAACAATATTTAGCGGAAAACTCTTGGCGAACAATCTTATACAGACATCTAAAGGCGCCTTTTCCCTATATAGAGGACTGCTGCGCCAGGGCACGACACAGCACAGTTTAGGCACCGGAGAAAGCAGGGCTGCAGACCTATGAAGCTTGCACGCTGCAAGGCTCGCCAGACACCCCCATTGTTTTTCGGAGAGCAGAAGGGCAATAACGTACTTACCAGCTCCTCTAGACGGGTCTTTAATCTATTGCAAGTGCGGGAACGTTTTGCCCTCTTGGAACCGCGCGAGACATTCGGAGAGAAAAGGATACGCGCATTTTTACATAGAGACAAAGTGTAGAGAACCGCTCCTCCCATTGTTTGGACTCGAAACGTCCCGTTTGCTTAAGACTCTCTCCCCGTTCTTGTTTGGGGGATGGGAAGAGCGAACCTTGAAAATGGGATTGGTGCGGAGAAAAGAGTTACTGATTTATTTATTTTATTTGTTTGTCAAACATGTATGAGAAAACAAGTATGAACATAACATATCAACAGGTATACGTATATACATAATAAACGAGTACGGATAAATGGAACAGTAGGGCAGGGAGGGTAGGCATTTAGAGCTAGCAAAACAACAGCTTTTTAAACATCAGTCGCGAAGGAAAAATGGAGGCAGTCATAAATTATTCCTACCCTTCACGAACCGAAAGTGGGGAATAGATTGACGGGCTATGTAGTACTTTACAAAGCTACAGCAGATTTCTATGGGTAACCCGCTGTTCAAGACTATTAAAGGAACTCGAAAGTCGATGAATAGTGTTACTCTTCCTTGTATTTTTCTCAGATAGTGTGCTTTAAGAAGCACTTCCGTGTTGGAGTTGCTCTTATCAAAGCACTTTCGCGTGGGGATAAAATTAGCACGTGCGTTGATTTCGTCTCTTTTCCTCACTCCCACGTATTGTTGTGTTCGGGTGGTTTGAACTGGAGTTGCAGAAACTGGCTTTCCATTTTTAAATTGATTACAACACATAAATTGCAAAACAGGTTTTATAAGTTTAAAAGTATTTTCTCATTTTAATTTTATAAAACCGTTCATCCCTTGATTGGCAATTTCTATTCTCTGGATGCAATACTGTTGAAGACCATTACAACATATTTTTACTTGAAGTCAAAAGAGTCATCAAACTATATGTACCAATAACAACTCCAAAAACCAGAAAAAATAGATTACCCACAACAAGGAAGCTTCAATCCAAAACGAGATCACTTTGGTGGAAAAACAAATCTGGTCAGTTGCCAACTTCAAAAGCCAATACAAAAATTTATGCCACCAGATAAAGACTGAATGCACCAATTATCACATTAAACAAGAGGAAAACCTTCTATGCACCAATTCCACCCATGCTTTCTTCAGTTTTGTAAACAACAAACTAAAAGATTTGAGGTCCATCCCACCCTGAAAGGACCTAATGGTAAAGACTGCAACAACAACACTATTAATGCCAACCTCTAACACATTCTTTGGCTCAGTATTTGTAAACAGCAATGGATCATGCCCAATATTTCCTAGTCGAACCACAGGCAACTACAATAATCTAATACATATCAATTTTACAGTAGACAATGTTGAAAAGTACTACACAATCTAAAACCATCTCTATCTATTGGACCGGACGGAATATGTGCCTACTTCTTAAAAAAGCTATCCACTGCCATAGCCGAACCTCTAAGCATAATCTTTTGAAAGATCTTTCAGGACCAGCTTCTTGCCAAAACTATGGTCACAAGCCACGGTCATCCCTATCTTCAAAAAGGAGACCCCAGCCTAGTTGAAAATTACAGACCAATCTCTTTATGCTGCATCACCTCTAAAGTCGTGGAATCAATTATTAACCAATCCATTATCTTCCACTTAGAGACAAACAACCTACTCTCTAATAAACAATTTGGTTTCAGAAAAAAACTATCCTGCAATCTGCAACTCTTAACACTGCAAAAACATATGGACTACACAACTAGATCAGGGCAAAGCAATAGACGCAATCTACATAGACTTCTGTAAAGTCTTTGATTCAGTGGTACATGACAAACTACTCCTAAAACTAAAATCTTACAGTATCTCGGGACACCTGCATAACTGGATAGAAGCATTCCTGTCAAACAGACAACAAATGGTCAAAATTGGGAGCATCCTATCAAATTCTGTACCTGTCAACAGTGGTGTCCCCCAAGGCAGTGTTCTAGGACCAACTCTCTTCATACTCTACATAAATGACCTCTGTGATCATATTAAGAGCAACTGCGTTCTCTTTGCTGATGATGTAAAGCTATTCAACACCACTGACAATGCTGCTACCCTTCAAAAAAACCTCGATTATGTATCAGAATGGTCAAACAAATGGCAACTTCAAATCTCAACAAATAAATGCTCTGTCTTACATATTGGCCAAAAAAAATCAAAAAATAAAATACAGGCTGAATAGTCAAGACCTTGTTGATGATCCAAACTCTGTCAAGGATCTTGGAGTACTCATCTCAAATGATCTAAGTGCTAGAGCCCACTGTAACTACATAGCCAAAAAGGCATTAAAAGTTGTTAACCTCATCTTACGTAGCTTTTTCTCTGGTAATATTACACTACTAACTAGAGCATACAAAACATTTGCTAGACCAATACTCGAATACAACTCATCAGTCTGGAACCCACATTATGTATCTGATATTAATACAGTTGAGAAAGTCCAGATATATTTCATAAGAAGAGTTCTCCACTCCTCTACTCGTTGCAGAATACCTTATGCCACCAGACTTGAAATTCTAGACCTAGAAAACCTAGAACTACGCCGCCTTCAGTCTGATCTTAGTATATAAAATCATACATTGCAATGTCCTACCTGTCAATACTTCAGCTTCAACCATAACAACACAAGAGCAAACAATCGATACAAACTCAAGGTTAATCACACCAAACTTGATTGCAGGAAATACAACTTCAGCAACAGAGTGGTCAATGTCTGAAATACTCTACCTGACTCTCTGGTTTCTTCCCCAAACCCCAAAATCTTTAACCTTAGACTTTCTACTATTGACCTCACCCCTTTCCTAAATGGTCTGTTGGGGGCATGCATAAGCGCACCAACGTGCCTACTGTCCCTGTCCTATTCTTTCTTTTATTTTTCTTATATGTATCCATGTATTCATAACTATGTTTTTACTTATACCTATTATCTTGTAAGCAACTGACAAACCAAATAAAATAAAATAAATAAATAAGTAAATACAGCAATGTGTAGTGGGGTTTACTCAGTTAAAAATGTAGGTATGCCCCCACTCCCCTTTTAATCGTTCAATTCTTGGTGACAGTCTGGACAAGCCCTTGCAGTTTTCTTGGCAAGGTTTTTTCCCCCCAGAAATGGTTTGCCGCTGTCTCTTTCCTAGGGCTGAAAAAAAATATCCAGCCCAAGGCAGGACTAGATTCCAGTCTCCCAGTTTCTAGCTTGACGACTTATCCACTACATTAAAATAGCTCTAATATATGCTTTTACTGTATGGTTAAATGTATTTTGAATGTAAGCTCCGTTCTCCATACTCCCTGGTAAAACTGCTTAAGAGTTGTAGCTGCATTGGCATCAGCAGGATTTGAAATGCAGAATAACAAGAGTTGGAAGGGATCTTGGGAGATCTATCTAGTTTAATCCCCTGCTCAAGCAGGAAACCCTAGTACATACTATTTCAGACAGATGCATTCCAATCTCTAAAACCTCCAGTGTTGGAGCACCCACAACTTATGGAGGCAAGTTGTTTCACTAAGTCCTCTGATCAGAAAATATCTCCTTAGTTCTAAGTTGCTTCTCTGCTTGATTGGTTTCCATCAGTTGCTTCTTATCCTGTCTTTAGGTGCTTTGGAAAATAGGTTGACCTCTTCTTCTTTGTGGTAGCTCCTTAGACATTGGAACACTATCATTTCACATATCACTCAAGAATCACTTATTATACCCTAAATGGTCAATATATTTGTAGCAATGGAGTACAGATAATATATGTCTTGCTCACAATTTTTCAATGAATACACCCGTGGAAATATAAAAGCCAAATGACCCTGCAGATTTCAAGAAAGGCAGAGATACATCACATGGCGTTGGTTAGCTAACATAAAGATGTACAGTATAATGGAGATATCAAAATATGAGATTTACTTTTCTTGTATTGACATGCCAGAATGGAACATGTTAAAGCTAACAGGTGTCCAGAACTCCATTCTGGGGAACTGAACAGTGAACAAGGAACCACTAAAAGAACTGAAGAGAGAGCTGGAATCAAAATATTTTCTACTGATTTATTTTTACGTTTAAAATTTTTAATATAAACTTTTATATATCTCAGTACTTGGATTGCAGTAGGATATAATTGTAATAAATACAAAGGGAGTCAAAACTGAGATAGTCCACTTTGTTAGCAGATATGGAATGACACCACTTTGTTAGCAGAAAATAAAGTAGAAGAATTTGCAAAGCTACATAGAAAGTAAACTCTGGATTACATAAAATATTGAGACAAAGGTAATAGCAATCAAAATGCTTAGTACAGTATATTGGACTCATAAATAATTACAATTAAATAACAATAAAATTAAACTTGTATGCTGCTCCATTCCCAACAAATCTGGGCAGCTCATGACAAAGAAATTGCAGTAAGATCAATAAAAATAGAAGTCTGACAAGTCGGATGGAAGATGTTGAAAAAATAATTCAAACAAATAAGCAATTTCAATTTTAGAAAAGATGATAGAATAGGAAGGATATTTCTATGACAACAAACATCAGAAAGGTGAAAGCAATGACTTTTTTGTGGAGTATTGTGAAAGTAAATTAAGGGACAATATTCAGTTATTAATTCTGAGATATTAAAAGTCATATAATCATCAGTTTGAAACAAGTTGATGACATCTATGTTAGGTTGGAGGACTGAATAAATACCTACTAAATTTGACCATCTGCATTTAAAAATAATAACATTTAGACCGATTTATCATAAATTTAGAGCTTGGGAAGGATTCCAAGGATGTAAATCTTAAAACAGGAGAACAACTCAAGAAGCTTGGAAAACTCTAAAAAAATATTATAAAAGCCCAATGACTGGAAAAATAAAAACAAATCCAATTTAAAAAAAACAGCATGGTTGCACAAAGACAGAGGTGGACTGCTGCTGGTTTGGACTGGTTCGCCTGAAC